TATCTATCTATCTATCTATCTATCTATCTATCTATCTATCTATCTATCTATAGAGAGAGAGAGCTAAAGATTCCCCTTGCACATATGTGCTAGTTGTTCCCGACTCTAGGGAGCGGTGCTCATCTCCCTTTCAAAGCCAAAGAGCCAGCGCTGTCCGCAGACGTCTCCGTGGTCATGTGGCTGGCATGACTCAACGCCAAAGGCTCACGGAACGCTGTTCCCTTCCCACCAAAAGTGGTCCCTATTTTTCTACTTGCATTTTTTACGTGCTTTCGAACTGCTAGGTTGGCAGAAGCTGGGACAAGGAACGGGAGCTCACCCCATTACGCGGCACTAGGGATTCGAACTGCTGAACTGCCGACCTTTCGACCTACAAGTTCAGCATCTTAGCCACTGAGCCACCACGTCCTTATTATATATACATACATACATATATACATGTGTGTGTGTGTGTGTGTGTATACACACACACACACACACACACAGAGGATTCAGTTTGCTACCAATTAGATGGTTAGCTTTGCAACATTCATTTGAACAAGCTGCACTCAAGTAGCATTAGCTTAATCAATGGAATTAGTTCAGAGGCCATTCCGGTCTCCGATTCTTCTACTTTGCTGATGAAATCAGCTGTCCCAGATGGCTGTAAGAAATGTGCATTCCCCATTTCATCAGTGCACTATTCCCTTGCGAGCAGCAGTCATGTAACTCAGCTGTAAACATAATACGAATGTCTGCTCGATCCGTTTGGTTGGGAAAAACATCAATCCAAACCTAAATGTTATGTATACCTCAGAGAAGGCATGGAATTTAACAGAATTATTCTCCTTCGAGTCGTTTCCCCAGCTAACTTTGACATGATGCTAGGGTGTGTCCCCCATCACCGTACACAACTGATAAATGTTATGTTTATGTTTTGCTTTTGGGGGTGTTGTGAAAATATGTCAGCAGCAGACATCAAAAATCTTGAAAGAAATGTTAGATTTTCTATTTGAAAGGGAATGCCTTTAACTGAGAGTTGCCTGATAGCAAGATGGGCAGTGAATAAATTTAATAATAAATAATAATTAACTAAGACATTATTTTAAGATGACCGAATAATACTTTTCTTTTTTGTATGTCATATCTTCATGGCATCACCTTTGATTTATCCCCAGGTGATTACAAAGGCAGCTTACCTTATCTTCAACTGGTATTATTATTATTATTATTATTATTATTATTATTATTATTGTTGTTGTTGTTGTTGTTGTTGTTGTTGTTGTTGTTGTTGTTAGCATGGTGGTTTTTCTCTTTGCTTGACAGACATCTTGCCAACCAGATGGACCTCTTGGTAACTTAGAATAGAATAGAATAACAGAGTTGGAAGGGACATTGGAGGTCTTCTAGTCCAACCCCCTGCTTAGGCAGGAAACCCTACACCACTTCAGATAAATGGTTATCCAATATCTTGAAACTTCCAGTGTTGGAGCATTCACAACTTCTGGAGGCAAGTTGTTCCACTGATTAATCGTTCTCACTGTCAGGAAATTTCTCCTTAGTTCTAGGTTGCTTCTCTCCTTGATTAGTTTCCATCCATTGCTTCTTGTCCTGCCCTCATGTGCTTTGGAGAATAGCTTGACTCCCTCTTCTTTGTGGCAGCCCCTGAGATCTTGGAACAACTGCTATCACCTCTCCCCTAGTCCTTCTTTTCATTAAACTAGACATCCCCAGTTCCAGCAACCGTTCTTCCTATGTTTTAGCCTCCAGTCCCCTAATCATATTTGTTGCTCTTCTCTGCACTCTTTCTAGACTCTCCACATCTTTCTTACATCATGGCGATGTAAAGGGCTTTGCTGGCCATTGGCTTCTGCAACCATGTGCTCTTCTTTGCTTTCTATATTATCATGAAGCTTAAAGCGGGGAACACCTCTTGCTGATCACATGTTGGCTAGGAATGGTAGGAACTGCAGAAAAAATCCTAGAGGGGGTGGCAGATTGATAAGAGATGCTTTGAACGGAGACAAATCGTTTTGGGATCCATTCCAAAGACTGTCTTCTTCTGATGTAATAGCCAGATATAAAAGTTCTGCAGTTATTGAAATAAACCCTGTGCTGTGATTTAGAGGCCACATTTGAAACCCACCCATTCTCCTCCTTGCTCCTAGATAGCTCAGATAGTCATTCAAGGAAGACAATATGACATAAAGTCAAGGCTATCATGCTGGTGATCCATCAATTGATTTAAAGCAAGTCCTTCAGGTTGCTGTGTGGTAGATGTTCCATTTTATAGTAGCTTCTAATGGAAAGTTTCAACCTGTCCTTGGAATATGAAAAGCTTCATATTGCCTTTTTTTTTTTTTTTTAAATAGGGGCTATGACAGAAGCATTCATCCTGTGCCAACTCCCTGCAAGAGGACCATGGAAATACAGCAACATTTTTGAAAAGTGTCCTCGGCTCTCCTATCTATTCAATCCCGCAGGATGAGAAATGAATGCAGAGGAACAGAAGAAGTTTCAAGAGTGACTTATTCCCATGTAAATGGAGAATAGACTCTGCTAAGATTTGAAGTCACACAAATCAAGGCCAGACTCTGCCCATCGACAGGAGTCAAGAAAAAAAATTCCATTGGTTAGAAATTCCTGAAACTGTGATGTCATCGTACATGCCTGGCACCACCGATATTGCCTTGGGATTCCATACTGTTCAAGGCATATACAAAAACCAGAAGAAGATCAAAGAACGCAAGCAGCACCCAAAAGAAGATGGAGAGACAACAAGATTCTGTTATTTATAGCCGTTCTCGACCAAAGTAGTTTTAACCTTCCTGTGGAGTTGATTTTCAAGTCTTGTCTACCGGGTGTGGAGCTGACACAACAGTTGTAAAGAAGGAAATGTAGAGATTCATTCAAGATTCTACCTTTGCTGTTCCCCCCCAGTAATTGCGTAGAAGGAAGACTGTGAGCTTCTGAATTAACCGTCATGAAGGTAGTCGCACTTGATCGAGAAATCCGTATGCATTTTTATCATCCCATATTTGTATTCATCATTTTCCTTTTAATATTAATGCCTTCCGACTGTTTATTGAATATCACTTGATAAGGGGTGCAAGGTTTTTCCTCCCCTCCTTTCCCTCCTTCAAGATTAAAGCAAATCTATTAATAACATTCATTGATTAACATGTTAAGTATTAAAGCTAAGTTTCATCAGCATCAAACAAAAGTGTCAACATCAAAAGCACGATTTATACTCTTCAAAATGTTTTGTGCTGTGACACACACCCTAAGGAACAATGTCTGGTTAATTACTAAAGAATAATCTCCATCTGGTTAGCTTTGTCTCCTCCAGTTTCTGCTCATACGTTTCCAGATAACCTTTGAAATAGTCTTCTTAAACATCCTGGGGCTTCCAAAGTTATTAATTGTAATTGTGTTGTGCGATTAAGAGAACGTTATTTAGTGGAATGTGGGAAGCAATGCTATCTCTTGATTACTGTGAACAACTTCTAATGGTAGATAGCACCAGCTATTAACTGTATCAGCTAATAATACTTTATTATTCCGATTCCAAATTTGATACTTATTAGAAAGAGAGGGGGAGAGGGAGCCAGATAAACCATCTAAATATTCATTCTGTTTAGTCAATTGGTACATATTTAAATATAACAACCAGAACAATGGATGACCTTAACATGCATTTGCCATAATTTTAGCATCCTGAGGACAAGAATTCAGAACTCTACAAGGGACTCATTGGTGTAGTAGTCATTTTTCAGACCAAAGCTAGGCTTATACCATGTTTCCCTGAAAATAAGATCCTGTCATTCATATATACATATACATATACATATACACATACACATACACATACACATACACATACACATATACATATACATATACATATACATATACATATACATATACATATACATATACATATACAGTGGTCTCCAGTGAAAAAGTACTTTTACATACTTCCCACCCCCCTCCAAAAAACATTTAAACTGACTTTTTAATTCCACTTCTGACTACATTTTCAGGCTCAGAAGAATATTCCCAGGATGAATTAGATCAGGGCATACTCAGAGCCTACTCAACGCATTGTTTAAGCAACACTAACTATGTGTTTTGATGCAAATTGTTGTTCTTCTTAGGTGGTAATTTGGACTTTGGCATTGCTACGCTCTATCATCATTGAAAGAATGTAATCACTGCTCATTAGCTTCACTTTTTAAATGTCATGCATAGATTTAGAAGTAGCAAGAGGAAGCAAAACAAAACATGTTGTGGTCCAAACACAATCAAATCAATTTGGAGCCTACATCTGACACTAACAGCAGGAAGCAAGAGCAAGTAATTTCGGAGGATTAGGAAACATAGGGACTACTTCTGCATCACCAAAGGACAGTGGTTTGCAAAGGTTGACATTGGCAACCCCAAAACAATTACTATCCTTTCAATAAAAAAGGCTCCCCATATCAGCATTCAGGGAAGGTCTACAAACAGGTGAGGGACCCAATAGAGTGGAATTCTGCCCTTGAGAAATTGTGGTGGGTGTTTTTCTTTAATTTCTCATGGAGAAAGTCTAAAAAAGTACTGACCTAAGTTCTTGCCCCCAACAATCTGGCAGAGAAATCCAAGGAGCCTTTGGTGTCCAGCTCCAGGGGCCTCTGCAAGAAGAGAAGATTACAAAAGTCTTGAGAGCCATCCCAATGAAAGCTACATTCTGTTTTACAAGTGTTGGACAATGCACATGAAAAGGGGATGTGACTATGAGCATGTGATCCCAGCCACTAACTTGTCTTTTTTGATGCCCACTGACCAGGGGTGAAATCTGACCGGTTTGGACCGGTTCAGGGGAACTGGTAGGGACAATTGGCATCAGTTCGCCAAACCGGTAGTAATCATCGGTTCGGAAATGCACCATTCCACGGCTCCGGCCTTGCCCTGGAGCTGCCACCCACTCACCGCCCACTCGTCGCCCGCTGCCCACTCTCCCTTCACCACGTTACACGTCCTTACCTTCCTCCCGCAGCTGGCTGCCAGGGAAGGTGGGAAGGTGGGCTGCTGGGCTCCCCACCAGCCTGCATCTCGCCCTCCCTTATTGCGAGATGCCTGCAGCCGCAGCCTCTTTTTTTTCACCCTGCCAGCGCATGGAACAAGGCAGTGATGGCTGCAGTGCATTCAAGAAGGGGAGCGGCTCCAGTAACTTTTGCTTCAAGAAGCCTGCATCTTTCAGTGCAAGAAGCGCCTCCAGGCGCACCAAAAAAAAGAGGCTGCGGCTGCAGGCATCTCACGACAAAGGAAAATAGGGCAGAATAGAAATTTAAAAAAAAATCTTACCGGATTCTGTGGGCGTGGCTTGGTGGTGGTGGGGTCATGTGACTGAGTAGGTGTGGCTGTGAGTGATGTTGAGTTGGTCATGCCCACTCAGTCACATGACCCCCCACCACCACCAAGCCACCCCCACAGAACTGTTAGGGAAATTTTTTTTTAATTTCACCACTGTCCCATGGACACATTTACTGAATTCCAGTCCAAAAAGAAACTACATGTCTATGGTTTTTCCAATGATGTCGTCCTAATCTTACCATATCAATATTTTTTTTTTATTTGATTTATATGCCGCCCTTCTCCAGAGACTCAGGGCGGCATATAAATATTAATATAAATATTAATATATTTATTAATATTTATATTAATATAAATATTAAGCGAAAGAACCTAGATAGAGATATAAAAGGTCAAACAATATTTATTTATTTATTTGTTTGTTTGTTTGTTTGTTTATTGGTTCAATTTATATGCCGCCCTTTTCCAGAGACTCAGGACGGTTTACAATGCGTTAAGCAATAGCCTTCATACTTTTGTATATACCTGCTTAGTAGGGTTTTCGCCCCCCCCCCAAGCGGTGTTCTTTTTTATACAAAGTCAGCTTATTGCCCCCACAAACCGGGTCCTCATTTTACCTACCTCGAAAGGATAGAAGTCTGAGTCAACCTTGAGCCTGGTGAGATTTGAACTTCCAGTAATTGCAGGCAGCTGGTGTTACTTAACAGTGCTTTAGTCTGCTGCGCCATCAAGGCTCTTTTTTTAGCATAATTGTTTTTTTTTCCTGCCCCTATGATATGGGTGCCCGTAAACAAAGCTCGTGTTTTTCTGTGTTGCCAGTTCTACAGGGACATTCATCTCAAGTTGATCACCCCTCTTCTTTAAAACTTTTCAGGACATTCCGATAGCCTTTTTTTTTTTTTAATTTGATTTATATGCCGCCCTTCTCCGGAGACTCAGGGCGGCTTACAATGTGCTCAGCAATAGCCTTCATCCTTTTGTATATTTATACAAAGTCAGCTTATTGCCCCCCACAAACTGGGTCCTCAATTTACCTACCTTAGAAAGGATGGAAGGCTGAGTCAACCTTGAGCCTTGGAGAGATTCAAACCTGCAGTAATTGCAGGCAGCTGGTCTTAATAACCAGCTTAATAACAGGGTGCCTTAGACCACTGTACTACCAAGGCCCTTTGTCCGTGCGTATCTGTTAAATAATCAAAATAAATGTGTTTCTCTAAAAGTAGCACAATTTTGAAACATTACGGGTAAGATTCGCCCACAAACGCTTGCTAATAGTTCTTGTTGTTTTGGGGATAGTTTTGTCTTGTTCATTTTATTGCTTGTATTTTTATTGGTTAATGACCAAAATAAAATTATATCTGTCTTAGGTTAGTCCTGGGCTTTGTGCAAATCGAGGGAGAGATTGTGGCTGTGAGTTTCCTAAAACCGTTTTGTGTAGTGTGGAGTGTAAGGCTGTGTCGCAGAGGCAAACATTAAATGTCAGCTGCAGGGATCAAACCTCCAGATCCTTTTTGACACTTACATCTGATGGAGAAACAGCTCATTCCGAGAACAAACGCAATGGAGAGTAATAACACTCTGATTTGAGAAGACTTATTTTTTAAAATAAGTCAACCATCTCGATGGAGAAAAATGAAATGCTTTATATTAGAGATGGCAAGAACCGGTGCGGGTAAAAGAAACAACTGAGAAAGCCCAGATGGAGAAAACAGAATTATACATAATTTGATTTAAAACTGCATTAAATAAAATCATTTAAGGGCTCTTGGGAAATTCCAGATCTGATTTTCAAAGAAACCCAAACAGACTCGTACAGAGGAAACATATTTTACATTGAGCAACTGTCCATTTTGGTTCAAAAGGTCAGCGTCTCCATCCAAAGAATTTATGCCTCCACAGAGACTTAGTGTCTGGCCTGCCAGAGGCAGAGAAGCTGCCACACAAGGTTAGGTCCTTGAAAAAAACAGACACTGTCGGAAGCTGGAAGGAAGTGAACCAAATTTGCTTCTTGCAGGGAAACTGGAACTGCAGCCTGGGAGCGATTTCCAAGGCATTAAAAATAGCCCACAATGAAGCTTTCAAGATGATTGTTTGTGACCGTTTTCTAGGGGTTGGGGGGGAAGAGAATTCAAGATGAAAGATGGCTTTGAAGTGGGGAGGGGGGGTGGGAGGGGAGAAATCAGGATAAGATGAGGAAAGGTGTTTAAGAAATCATGCAGATGCAACCATCATTTTTGTAACTTTCACGAGAAGAGTCCTTCACTCCTCGGCTCGCAACAGAATACCTTATGCCACCAGACTTGAAATTTTGGGTTTAAACCAGGGGTCACCAATCTTTCGGATCTCATGGACCACTAAATTCATAATTTCAAATCTCATGGACCACTAATACGATTTGCCTAATGACTGGCTGGGTGGGCGTGGCTGGGTGTTCATGTGACTGGGTGGGCAGGGCCAACTCGATGTCACTCACGTTGAGGGGCGCCTCGTCGGCCTCTACTCGCCCCTCCCCTCCCAGCCACTCCTCGCCTATCTGCCCGGGCTCCTTAGGGCCCCAACAGGAAGCACTCCTGCCTTTTGGCAGCTCTGCGCGCCTGTGCATCAAGAAGACGCTCTTCATCTTCGTCCTCTTCACTTAATGGAGCTTCTGGAGGTTCTGAAGGCCCTGGCTGAATCCCCGCCTCTGGCACCACATCTTCTCCAGCCTCCTCATTGTCCGACTTGAGTGCCAGCTGCACAGGCTGCTGGTGCAGTACCACACCAGCCTCCTCGCTGTCGGAATCAGCTACTAGCTGCACAGGCCGCGTACGGGCCACAACAGTCAAGGGGGAAATCCAGATTCACCTAACAGCCATGTTACTAATTTAACAAATGCAACAATTCACTTAACAGCGGTGATAAGAAAAGTCGTAAAATGGGGCAAGATCACTGAACAAGTGCTTCACTTTAGTAACATCAATTTTGGGCTTAACGGTGTTCGTTAACTCGAGGATGACCTGTATATAAATAGTCTGCTTTTGAATTTGTAAATAGAGTAAATAGTTTCCTATTTGCTCACTGAGAGTGTAATTGTGATGTGCTTTTTTAAACATGTTTGCCATACAACAAACCAATAAACTGAAAAAGCAGTTGTGTCTTGGACTTGTTGGGATACCTGCCCTCTCCTGTGCAATTCTGGAGAAAGATTCATCTGGCTTATACAGTTGCAGTCAACTCCCTCCAGAACCATTTCTGGGCTTTGTTTCTGAAGCATTGCACTGCCCTGGACACCAGAGCAAATATAATCTTGCCATGGATTTCACCGCAAAGCAATACATGCCATCTGCTTGCTTTCGGAGAAGCACACTTGAAAGCTCACACAAGCACAAAACAGGGTCGGGAATGAGTCACCCGGCCATCAGGCTGCATCGAGAGTTCTAGGCCATCTCTTTTATTAATAAGCTCCGACACCTCATATTTTAGCCGTAATGTAGCTAACACGGTTCCCCCATTTCCCACCCAGAATGGGCCGATGTAATACGGGTGGTCGGACTGTTCTGTGCACAGGAGTTCCTAGCTAGAAAATATTGCAAACTTAATAGGGCTTGCACAGTGGTGAAATTCACATTTTTTTTTTACTACCGGTTCTGTGAGCGTGGCTTGGTGGGCTTGGTGGGTGTGGTAGGGGAAGGTTACTGCAAAATCTCCATTCCCTCTCCACTCCAGGGGAAGGATACTGCACAATCCCCATTCCCTCCCCACTCGGGGGCCAGCCAGAGGTGGCATTTGCCGGTTCTCCGAACTACTCAAAATTTCCGCTACCGGTTCTCCAGAACCTGTCAGAACCTGCTGGATTTCACTACTGGGGCTGGATCTCCCCGGCATGTTAATAGCAAAGCGGGTTTTATGTGGCATTAGCATGGCAGGAAGGGCGGCAATTCTCGCGATCTGGAAATTGTGATCGGCAATTGACCTTTTACTTAACCTGTCAAATTTGATTAAGCAAGCATCGTACGGATTAGTGAAATCCCTGTTTGCTACAAGAGGTGCAAGCTCTTATGATTACCTCTCACTTTCGGGCCACATCTAACTGCCTGAGGGATATTTACTCACTGACTAACGTGCACCATTTTCCTCATTATTTCTTCAGTCCAGTGGGAGGTTTCAGGATGTGAACAGATTGCAGCCAAACCGTATCATACTACTACTACTACTACTACTACTACTACTACTACTACTACTGTCATATCAGGAGTGCCAAAGCTCTTCTGGGTTGAATGGATTGAACAGTGACATCACCATTGTCTGGAGGAAACCTGGTTAGGGATTCCTTTCAGGTCCCCATTAATGTGCCCATCGAAGTGGTACCTATTTATTTACTCACTTTCTAACTGTCAGACTGGCAGGAACTGGAGTGTGTGACGGGAGCTCACCCCTGCCTGTGGCAGCAACCAGGTCCTGAACATGAGCCTTCCAAATGGAATGGATTGAACAGTGACATCACCATTGCCCAGGGGACACCCAATTAGGACATCCTTTCATGTCCCTGTTAATATGCCCACCAAAGGCAGGGGTAAAATGCTCCCGGTTTGGTCCGGTTCACCCGAACCGGTAGTAAAAAAAAGGCTACTGGTTCGCCGAACCGGTAGTAAAAAATGTAAAAAAAAAAAAAAAAAAGTTCCAACAATCAGCTGAGCGACATGCAATCATGGGAACTTTTTTTTTTTTTTTACTTTTTTAACATTTTTTTACTACCGGTTCTGTAAAACCAGAAGTTAAAAATGCTTTTTAAAAGTAAAAGAAAAGGCTCCGACAATCCCAACTGTGCCGCACAATCGTCAGAGCCTCTTTTTTTTAACCTTTTAAAAGCATTTTTTTTACAACCTATTCGCCCAAATATGTTTTAAAGCATTAAAAGATTTTTAATGCCTTAAAAAGGTTTTTTTTTAAAAAAAGTTGGCCACGCCCACCCAGTCACATTATTCCCCACCACCACCAAGCCACGCCCACAGAACCGGTAGTAATAAATTTTACATTTCACCACTGTGATAAGGTCTGTGTCATGGGGTGCCACCTTTAAAGCGCTCCATGGCATAGGACCTGGGTATTTGCGGGACCGCCTTCTGCCGCCGATAGCCTCCCACCGACCAGTACGCTCCCACAGAGAGGGACTCCTCAGGGTGCCGTCGGCCAGGCAATGTCGGCTGGCGACCCCCAGGGGGAGGGCCTTCTCTGTGGCGGCACCTGCCCTCTGGAACGATTTGCCCCCGGAGATAAGGATATCGGATCTCCGGGTCTTTCGCCGTGCCCTGAAAACTCTTCTTTTCCAGCAAGCAGGGCTGGCGTGAACCCCCCCCTTTTTTAGTTTTTAATGGTTATTAATTGTTTAGTTTTAAATTTGTTAATGGGTTTTAATTCGCACTGTTTTAATTCAGGCCAAAGTATATAATTCTTTTAATTAATTTTAAATTTTGTATTGTTATGTATTTTAGTTTTGGCTGTGCACCACCCTGAGTCCACTAGGAGAAGGGCGGTATATAAATTGAATAAATAATAATAATAATAATAATAATAATAATAATAATAATAATAATAATGAGGAATTCAGCCCACTTTGGAGAAAAAAAATCTGGAAAGCGGACTCACCTTTGTTTCTTTTTTTTCAAACACACATTTGTTCAGTTCACCAAATATCTGCTCTCAGGGGCTTCCGTCTCACTTGCCAAATCACTATCAAACTGTTAGCGAAGTCCTGAAAGGAAAGGAAAGGTTATGTGAGGGCAATGCTTCTCAGGAAGAACTTCTAACCCCAAATGTACTTTTAATGTTCTTCGGGAAAGTTTATTTTTTGTGTGTTTTTTTTATAAAGTAAAGGCATGTAATACACGATAGATCAGGAGCATTTGCACTTCTTTGAGGTGATGCTCTCCAAAAGGCCCACTCAGCACTTCTGAGCAGGCATGTGTGAAACCATTTTCAGCTCTTGTTTTCTTTCACAGCCTCAGCCAGCGAAGCCTGTAGGAAAAGAAATAATAATAATAATCCATCTGCTTCTTCCCATTGCAGCCAGTTTTCTCTCCACTGCTCTTCCTTCAGTCCTGTATAATATTCCTGCAATCAAAAAGACTCATTTGCACATTCCCCCCCCCTTTTTTTTTTTGCCCTGACACAGCATGCTAGAATTTGAAGCTTTTAAAGGGGTATCAAAAGGGGTAGGAGAAACTTGATGAGCTTGATGGAACCTGAAAGGAAAGGAAGAAATTATACAACCTTGCAGATGCCCCTGAACCGAAAAATGTCCTTGTGGAATGTCTTTACAGGTGGTCTTGAATTTTTTTTTATTATTATTATTATTATTATTATTATTATTATTATTATTATTATTATTTATATTTCTATGCCACCCACTCTCCGAGGACTCTGGGCGGCTTACACCAAAGACAGTATACTAAATAGCACATTGCCCCCTAACAATCTGGGTCCTCATTTTACCCACCTCGGAAGGATGGAAGGCTGAGTCAACCTTGAGCCGGTGAGATTTGATCCGCTGATCTGCTGAACTAGCAGTCAGCTGAAGTAGCTGCAGTACTGCACTCTAACCACTGCGCCACCTCGGCTCTTTATGAGGACAATTTATGAGGACAATTAGGATGAGAGCAGGGGTGGGATTGAAAAATTTTAGCAACCGGTTCTCGGCCTGGTTGCTGGGTGGGTGTGGCCATGGGGGCCTGGCCTAGTCGACTTCCTGCACCATGGTAGGTGGGAGGGACGTTTTTGCCCTCCCCAGGCTCTGGAGGTTTTCCTCCAGCCTCCAGGAGGGCGAAAACAGCCTTCCCCAGGCTCCGGAGGACCTTTGGAAGCCAGAAACGGGCCTGTTTCTGGACTTCTGGTACTTCTGGTAGTCCTGTTTTTCGCCCTCCCAGAGCCTCCACGCGGGCCCTGCACTTACCTGGCATCCAAAACAGGCTGCGTGGAGACTCCTGGGAGGGGTGGGATGGGATGGGATGGGAGGAGTCAGCCAGTCCTTACAACTACCGGTTCAGTGAACCAGATTAAAATTAACATCTGGTTTGCCCGAACTGGTCCAAACCAACTAAATCCCATCCCCGGATGAGAGCTTCCTTTGCTAAGCAAGGCAGCTGCTAAGTGAGTCACACCTAATTTTATGACCTTTTTTTTTTTGGCCAGGGTTGTTAAGTGAATCACATGGATAATAATTTTCCCATTGGCTTTGTGAGTCAGAGGATCTTTGAGATAATTGCAAATGGCAGCCCCAGGCCCTAGGATGCTTCAACCATTATAAATACATGCTGGTTACCAAGCGCCCAAATTTGGATCCTGTGGTTATAGGGAATGCTGTGATGGTCATAAGGACCGATCCTAAACCACTTCTTTCAGTGCCGTTGTAACTTCAAACCGTTGCAAAACAAATGGCTGTAAGTGGAAAACTACCTGTAATTCAGAGGGATGCAGTGGCTCAGTGGCTAAGATGCTGAGCTTGTTAATCGAAAGGTTGGCAGTTCAGCGGTTCGAATCCCTAGTGTCGTGTAAGGGGGTGAGCTCCCGTGACTTGTCTCAGCTTCTGCCAACCTAGCCGTTCGAAAGCAGGTAAAAAATGCAAGTAAAAAAATAGGGACCACCTTTGGTGGGAAGGGAACAGCTTTCCGTGTGCCTTTGGCATTTAGTCATGCCGACCACATGACCATGGAGACATCTTCAGACAGTGCTGGCTCTTCGGCTTTGAAACGGAGATGAGCACCGCCCCCTAGAGTCAGGAACGACTAGCACATATGTGCGAGGGGAACCTTTACCTTTACCTGTAATTCATCACAACTTTTTGTCTGACATGATAGTAATACAGGCTTCTGGGCTTTTTATTAACCCTTTTCCAAATGATATTATGAGTTTGACATTCTCCTCCTAGCTTGAAGTAAGCCCGTTCTGCAGCTGTTCTTCTAAAGGCTTTACGCCAGCAAACCTAATAAATGTTTCCCCCTTTTAATTAAAGAAAGAGCAACTGTGCAACTTATCCTCAACATCAATCCAATAAGGGCTACACTCTAACCTGATAACAGCCCTTCTTTTTTCACAGGTATCATTTAATAGTTGCAAAGAGCGTACAGACGAACAATGCCCAGAAAGCAATAAAGGCCAATGCTTTTTGTTGTTGTTGTTGTGCAAGAAGGCTCAGTGCTGGATCAATGGATCCCTCAGCCATTGATATAAGGTTGCATTTATACATCCTGAAACTCCTTTCCTCAAATAAACCATTCCACGCAGCGAGTCATATTTCACAGACCAATTTCAACTCCGCTGATGTCTCAACTTGTACGAAAGTATCAAAGCTCTGATGCCTAGAAGCCATTTTCCCCCCGGAGACAGAGATGGAAATGTTCTATCGAGCATTTGGGGAACTGTTTTCATACAACATAGATGATGATCCTATACAAACACCCTTAGGGGTTTTTTTTCTGTTAGCCTGGGAAGAATAACAGACACTGGGAGGCTATCCCTATCCTATGCGTGATGCCCTGTGGATGGTTCTCTGTGAAGTTTTCCTCCCCTGCGAGTAGACAAGGAATACGATATGAAGGAGAATTACTTGTCACAGCAATTCTTTTTGGGCTTTTTTGAATTCTCAAATGAAGGAAGTCCCTGACCTTACCAAGCCAACAGAGGCAAGATAAACGTGTGGTTTATGTTTAGTTAGTAAACCTTAGCACACCTATGGACCGATCAATACACAGGGGCTTCTAGCCAATCAGCGGCCATGTATGTGCATAGCTTTCACAAATATATGCTTCCCTCGTGGCTTATAAAGGAGAACTTCCAATAATCTCTTCGTGGCGACAGCTGCGCCAAGCAACTTCTTCGACATTATTGCTGGTAAAAGAACACGGGAGACCTTGAGTTTGCTTGGTCCTGAGGTAAATGTGGCGTCAAATCTCTTTAGGGGCAAGAGCCACTGAGCAGTTTGAGGGATTAGGTGGCCAGTGTTAGTTTCTGAGGTAAATATCCAGCTGAGGAGGGTGGAAGAAGATGGCTTGGTTCAACGTTAACCTGAAGACTGGAATAAGAGTGTCACAAAATAGCCTTTATTGTCATTGTACATCATGTACACAACAAAAGAGGCTAAACCAATTTCGTTGTATCTATGAAGTACAATGACAATAAAGGCTATTATTATTATTATTAAAAGAAAAAGAACGACAATATCAGCGTTTCAACACTGGCATAGAGAGCAGAGGAGAGCGAGAGATAAACTCTGAAACTTTTGCTTGCTAAATCCCTTTGAAGTCGGGTTGTCGTGGAAATGAGGGGAGGGGGCACATTCCTGGGAAATGACGAGAAAAAGAAGTTTGAAGAATGACTTGGAAGATAGCAAATGAGAAGCAGAGATTTGGGGATCGGAAAGGGAGGGATTGGGGGGCAAAAGGTCAGTCTTGTCCGCGTGGAGT